CATCACCCTGGCTTCTAACAATAAATTCCATGACAACTGTTACCGATGAGAGTCTCTCCGCCAGCGCTGGGGCTGCCCCCTGTTCCTGCCCTGTCTGCAGCCTGACCCTGCTTCCCTCTGACCCACCAGATCAGTGCAACCCTCTGGCCCGCCAGCACCCTCCCTTCCACTCACAGCCTGGAGATCCTGGCAATGCCGGATCTGGTTCCAGTCACTGCAGAACAGAGAACACTTAGGCAGAGGAGAGAAGGTGTGACGACAGTGATGCCCCAGGAGTCTGTAAGGACTCAAGAGCCTCACGCCCACTTAAGGAGGCCCAGAACAGACCAGAGAGGAGATTGGGGGTACTTTTGTTCTAGATCTTTCCCTGTCTCCAAGTCTGCTGGCCCAAATTGGGCTGGAGGAACTAAGCTGTGTGTCCTGACCACATGTTTCCCTCCCCATCAGAGAGACTGTCATCAAAAGCATAGCTATCTGTGCCACCAGCATCTGAGCCGGCTTCATCTTCTCCGTCCTGGGCTTCATAGCCAACCACCTGGGTGTGGACGTGTCCCATGTGGCAGACCACAGCCTGGGCCTGGCCTTCATGGTAAAAACAGAGGCCCTCACACTGCTGCCCATCACCCCAATCTGGTCCCTGATATTCTTCTTCATGCTCATCTGGTTGGGGCTGCGCACTCAGGTACGAGGTGCGGGACTCGGGCCTGTGGCTTGGGGCAGGAGGAGGCGGGGCCAAGGGTAGGCCCCTGCTCTGATGGCCGTATCCTGCAGGTTGGCCTCCTGGCGATGCTCGTCACAGCCATTGTGAATGAGGTAGGGAATGAGTGGATCCGGCATAAAAAGAGTTACATGACCTTCCTCATGGCTGTGGCTGGCTTCCTTCTGGGCATCCCCCTCACCAGCCAGGTAAGAACCAAGGGAAAGGCTTGGCCAGAGTTGCCAGGGCATGGTGGGGCGGAAGACATGCTTTCCTCTCTACCTTTTCTCCCCGCAAAGGATCAGGCTGCCAAGGTCAGGGGGTAAAGGGTACCTAAGCCAGGGGTGGGGGCAAAGGAGATTAGGGCCAGAGGCCAGCCTGTCTGGAGCGGGGTCTGTGCCGGAAGGGGCTGGGCTCTATCCACGTAGGTGGTCCCTGCCCTGGGCCCACTGTGTACCGCCCCAGTTGTGACAGCAGATGTATGGGAAGCGCCAGACACTGCTCAGGCCCACAGCATAACCCACGTGTGTCAGGACAAGCTGGATCTGGTTGCGCCAGTTGCCCTGTTGGAGGCTGTGGTCCTTCTCGGTGGCCTCGCTGGGCATGGCACCGTTCTGTGCAGACAGGAGAAAAGCCACCATCAGCAAGGCATTGGCATGAGGGGCCTGACCCTTCAGGCCTCCCCCAGTGGGACACCGTGGACCCTCCAGGTGCCCACCCCCACCCTGGGCTTCCCCTCTGCAGGCAGGAGCCGCAGGCAGGCCTGGCGGAGGAGCACAGAGAGAAGAGGGGCTGCCAGAGGGTGCCAAGCGGGCCCTCCCTCACCAGCCCCCCAGCCCCCTGCAGCGAGTCACTGGCTGACTGAGCCCTCAGGAGTCGGGGTTGGGGGGGCACTGATGAGCAGCACCACCGAGCCTTGCCTCAGCAGCTCAGCCCTGCTGGCTGTGCCCCTGGCCAGGGCCTGGAACTGGACGTGGGGCTGGGACTGTGGCGGGAAGGAAGACAACATGAGGGGTCCACTGTGCAGAAGGAGGTGTGATGACGCCCTGCAAGTGGTGGGAGGAGCTCCCAGCAGAAGCAGCACCAGCGGCTGCTCCCTGGCCCTGTACCCCAGCCCTGCAGAGCCCCATTCAGGAGCTGTGGAGGGGATGCTGCTGAGGGGGCCTGCGCCACAGCCAGGCCTCTGACTTTTCATTCCAGTGCAAGCTGTGGGCAGCCAGTCTGACTGGTGAGGGCGTGGCGCTCAGCAAAGGACAGAAGAAGCCCACCTTCCTCCAAGGACACTGGAGGGCAGGGTCCCTCTCAGGGGGTTCCTGGGGGCTCTAGTTCCCTTCCAGCCCTCCTCTGGGAACTCCCCTCCACTTCCTTCCTGGACAGCAATGCCCAAGGCCGGCGAGACTTTTCCAATGCTGCACAAGTTTTTTTCTCCTTGCATAATTTTCCTCATTCTAAGCCCTCCATTCTTTTTGACCTGCTGGGTGGAAGGCCTGTCACTGATAGTAACAGTCCCTGCAGAGGTTGTTGGCTCTGAGGTGCCCACAAAAGAATCTCTTTGTGCTCACGGGTTTGACCCAGACTGGTGGCCCATCTGCCTAACCCACCTCGGCCCCGCCGACTGGCCAGGCTCCAGGCTCCTGCCGCCCATCACCCATCTCCCACTGTCTGCTGCCCCTCAATGCCCTCCCAACCTCCCTCCCTCGCTCACACCTGGCTGCTGAGTTAAACCAGAGGGGCCTGGTGGCCTTCGGGGTTGGTCCCTCCTCCTCGGGCTCCCTGGATAGCCCCTACCCTCACCTCTGACTGGTCGTCATGGGCCTCATGGGTGATCTCCAGGGTGGAGATTGCCTCGCCCTGTGCCCACACTTCCCCAGGCCCAGCAGGATGCAGGCTACGGGACGTGCCTTCCACAGCTGTGTGGGTGGGCTGGCTGATCATCCTCCACGACATCTGCCATGCAAAGACATACACACGTAAGACCCTCAGCGCCCCTGTCCTTAGAAGCAGTCATTGAGGCAGCAGTGTCCATGCCTGCACAAGGATCTGTGACCTGTCTTGGGTTCACAACCTCCCACCCCATCCCTGCCCAGGAGGGTGAGCCACTCTGAGCAGTTGCTTATGTAAGTCCTTTCCCTAGCCCTCTGCCCTCTCTTTATTATCTGCTCTGGGTGAGCTCCTGGAATTCAGGCAGTTCACCTCCGAGGGCAGAAACCAGAGCTCCCCCCACACCTTGGACTTGGCAGGGCGGGGATCTCACACTGGGGTTTAGCATCCTAGCATTCTAGAACCTGCACCTCCAGGAGTCCGAACCTCTTCCACTCTCAGCATTGAGAGACCTTAGCTATAAAATCAGGGGATAGAGAGACAACCTCAATAGATCTCCTTAGATTCTCTAGCTCTGCCTTGCCTCGAATTTGCTATTTCTGACTCTCTCCTGTATTTTCCATTAGCTCCCACTGGCTTTCTAAACAACTTAAAAAAAATTGGTATTGCTTTCTTTCCAATTATGAGCTTATCATTAAAAAAAAAAAAAAAACTGGAAACTACAGCAAAGTGTAAAGAGGACACGATGCTGCAGAGCCCACTCCCAGAGGCCGCCCTCCCACCCCGCACCGCAGGGTCGCCCCTCCCTTCTTCGTGTCCAGACTCAGAGGCAGCCCAGCTTTCTACTCTGGGAGATGGCTGTGCTCAGGCTACCAACTCCCGCCCTCCGAGAGCAGTGTCCACTGGATATTTCTGTGAATCGAGCGCTCTCTCTTCTGCTCTCGGTGGACACCGAGGACTCCTGGAGCAGGCCAGGACGGGCAGGCCCTGCTGGGAGCCGGCAGGCTTCTTGTCCAGGACTCTGCAGCCCCAGGGTTTGCTCAAGGGATGAAGTCCTATCTAAGAAACTTTGCAGAGGTGAACGGGCAAGACTACATCCCAGACTGACCTTGAGCCAAATCCAGATCCCTGGCAACCTTCTCTGAGCTCCAGTGGGGGAATTCAGGCAGAACAGCCATGACAGTAAACCATGTCTGCCTTGGGAGACCCCATGACCTCACCCCCCATGGTTCTTGGTTCCCCAACTTGTCATCCTTAGCTAGCACCTGCCCTGTGATGACAAGAGTCTTCCATCCTTCAACTGGCTTCCTGATCCAGACACGTGAAAGAGTCAAGGGCCGGGCTGGAAGAGCAGGACCATGGGAAAATCTACCCCAGACTTGAGTAGTACGCAGGGGCTATTAGTGTCTCCTGCCTCAAGGAAAACCTCACGGCACCTCTCAGGAGATCAAGTCTTCATATGGGAGGTGAGAGAGGCAAGGACGAGCCCAGTGCTATTTCATCCCAGAGCACTGGCTCTACCAGTTTTGACCCGCTATTGCTGTGGACAGCAGACAGGAGATACAGCCGAGGTGCATCGGGCTCCATTCCAGACACTGGGAGTAGTGACAGGAACATTGGGTGGGCTCTGTCTCTGCCCTGGAGCTCAGCAGTCCTGCCTCTCACTGTGGCAGCCATGAGCAGTCTCTGCCCCAGTTGGCTGACAGCAGGCTGGCATCGAAGTGGCTTTGGTTGCTGACCCTGGCAGTCCTGAGGGTGGAGGGCAGCCCTGCATGATGCTACTCCCAAACCCAACCCAGGTCTCCCCAGAGGACATGTCTTCTTTTGCCTTCTGGAGGTCAAGTCAGGATGCGCTGCAGAAAAAGAAGGTGACTGTCCCAGGCCCCTCTCCCTCACTGCCATCAGCCACACTGTGCCTGCCATCCCTGCCCTTCCCCGTCTTCCAGGCAGGTGGGCACATACGAGGTGCCCGTCCCACCCGGGCCCTCATCGTGGACACTGGTGACCATTCGCCCACCCACTTCCCCCATCCTCCCCATGCAGCCCCTGTACCAAGTCTGCCTTCCCCTCACCCACTCTCCCCATAGGAGCAACTGCCATGGCACAGACAATGGGGCTGAATTGATTAGTGCAAGTCCTGGGCGACTCCGGCCCATCTCCCCGGGAGCTAGGACAATGCATATTTGATGCACAGGGCAGATTCCCAGCAGGTCCTTGGGAGGGGGGCCTCACATCCCAATTCTCCTCCCCCGCGCCCCCGCCACACAGCCAACGCTTCCTGGTCCTCTGCACACCTGCAACTTTCTGCATCACTTCTGCTGCTGTTTGCCTCTCTGGCTGGCTGTGCCTGCCCCTCCCTGGCACACACCACTCAGCCCCTCTCCCCACCCCCCAGTCCCGCCTCCCAGTCTTCCGGGCACCAGATAGGGGGCTCGACCTCCTGGAAAATGACTGACCAGTTCTCGGCAGGAGGGGTCCACAGGTCCCTGAGCCGCCGCCTTCGTCTGGTGAACACTTGAAGAGGAGTGCCTGCGTCTCTTCCGCTCAGCCACACCTCAGCCAGCTCCAGGTGACACTGATCCATCCCCTGCCTCTTCCAGTGCCTGCTGGGCAGAATCAATTACTCTCACCTCATCTCCTCCAGATGGAGAAGGAAATGGCAACCCACTCCAGTATTCTTGCCTGGAGAATCCCAGGGATGGAGGAGCCTGGGTGGCTGACAGACACCCAGGGGGTGTCGCACAGACTCGGACACGCCTGAAGTGCCTGAGCAGCAGCAGTGGGGCTCTCCTGTCCTGGGCTCCTCTCTACCAGCTCCCTGTCCTCTACGCCCCAGGTACCCCAGCCCTACATGTGTATAAATAGAGGCACTAGGTCTCCATCAAAGGAACCAGCCCCACCCCCACCCCAGGTGCCGCCAAGCTCCCAGCTGCTCCCGTGCTTGGAAACACCCCGGCCAGCTGGGTTCCTGCATGGCCCTGTCCTAGGAGCTGCCGAGGCGTGATGGAGGCAGTTGCGCTGGCCTGGCAGAGACCATCTGGGCTGGCAGTAAGGGGAGGAACACGTATGGCAGGCATGTGGACCTGGGCACGTGCTGGGAAGCGGCTTGCCCTCCACGGGGCACCTGCCGCATGGAGAGCCCCGCAGAGGCTCCAAGGATGACACACGCCAGACACTGAGGAGACCCAGGGGGCCCATGTCTTCACACCCAAGCCTTGGCAAAGGGGGATGGAAGTGAGGACCTCATGGCCAGGGCCAGTTGTGTACTCCCACATCCCAGGACACAAAAGGCAACACAAGTCACAGACCTGGGAAGGCCCAAGTGCCCCTGTTTACACGCATGGCCCTCAGCTCCCTCTGCTCTGCCCCACCATGGCCTCTCGAGAAGGGGCATCCTCCATGATCTGCCCTTAAGGGACCACGGGCAGCTGATCAAGTCCAGGTACAGCTGCCCAGGTTAGCTAAGAGGGACGGCGCTCCTCAGAGACAAGCGCTACATGGAGGCAGCACTGGTTCCAACTGAGTCCTGAGACCAGTTTAGGCCAGGGTCATAAGCAGAACTGAGAAACAAGCAGGAAGAGAATCTCAAGAAACCACTGGGGGTTCCCAGGGGACCTTCTATGGAGCCTCAGATGCAGCAGCAGTCGGCAGATGTCAAAGGTCAAAGGGCACGAAGGAAATGACACTCTGGCTATCTTTAGGCACACCTTGGTGGTGGGAACAGGTGTCCCAAGGCGGGAAGGCATTCCCTTCCACAGATGGGCTAGCTGGCAGAGTCTGGGGTTGGGGAAGCTCAGCCCCGGCAGGGGTTCGGGGACCTTGGGATTCAGGCTCTCTGTGCTGCCCACGTGGGTCCCACATCACCCCTGCCTGCCCGCCCCAGTCCTTTCAGGGTCACTCCAGAGAAAGCAGAGCAGCCAGCGAGTACTCAGAGGGTTTCTTAAGTTTCACGGGACTCAGACTCTCCATGGAAGGAGGGCCAGAGCCACACTCCACTTTCTGCTACAGACCTATGGCAATCACAACACTCCTGGCAAGAAGGAAGCCAGTCTTGATCCTATCATGGCATCTACTCCCCCCTAGCAAGTATGTGGGTCTGGAGACCTCCGTCTCTGCCCACATCTGAGCACTCAAGAGCTCAGGCTGGCTCAGAAATACTTTGAGAAGCCTAATTCATTCAGACTTGTTCCAATCAGCAGTGGGCCAGACCAGAGCGAGCCTGAGGAGCTGGATGCTGGAAGCTCAGGACCACGCACGAGAGAGGGTCCTGAGCCTGGAGCACAGCTCTTTGACTCCCTCCCCAACAGCATTTCTCTGGACCGAGGACTTAAGAGAATCCCAGAAATCCCTGGTAAGAGGGCTTGTTTCAGGAGGGCTCAGCCAGAGACCCGAGGTCAATCAGCCTTTAACTGAATGAGAACAGCAACAGGAGAATCCATGTGGGGAAGGGAGGAGCCAAGGGAAGGGCCATGCTTAGCCACTGGCTTCCTCCGGGGCAGCTGCCCAGTCTCACCAGTTCTTGAGCCAATATCCCCAGAGAAGGAATACAACGACCGCCCTTGGGATGTTTTCCTGGCTTCTGATTCCAGAGCTGGCCTGTTCCGTCCATCCATGAGCCATCCGTCCATGAGCTGGCCCTGCTCTTGCCCTCTGCTTCTCACCACCTCTCCTGTGCTCTGAGGCAGTGGGCAGTGAACAGCTGTGGCTTGGGGAAAGGGGAGAGGGATGTGTCCTGAAAGACCTCACAAGAGGATTCAGCATGAAATGTTCCATGCTATTTTTCCAGTGGAAGAAGAGAAAAATCAGGCTCTGAGGACTCCTTGATCAGCCCCTACGGAATGCTCCCCACAGCAGGCAGAGCACAGGATGAGGGTGCCGAGGTGTCAGTCACAGGACAGCCCTCCTGGCAGGATCCACTGCTGCCTGCTCTCCAGGGAATCTTGTGACGAGGGCGGGGAGTGTGCTTCCTGCCTCCCAGCATGACTTTCAGGCTCTGCAGCAGAATCTGCCTGCTGTGGGCTCCGAACCACGGCAGTATCTAACCTGCTGGGTGAGGGGCTGCCTACCTGGGCCTGCAATAGCCCTAGCACTCAGGAGTCCTGGCAGTGCCAGACTTGGGGCCCCATAGAACCTCCTAGGGCCTCCTGACAGCACCAGCAGATGACAGCAGGCCCCAGAAGGGATGGACGGCACTCATGACCCCCACCCCCTCACTGCAGTCTGGTCCCTGTACTCACCAGCGTCCCTTTGGCACCTTTTCCTGCCATGGTGGTGGTGGGTGAGGGCCTCTGGAGTCCCGGACCACACTCACGGGCTCTGCTTCTAGCACCTTTCATAGTACAGGCCTCCAGAGCTGTGGAGACAGCAGAGAATGAGGTGAGGATGTGGCCCGGAGAAGGCAGGGCAGGACGTGAGGGGCTCTCCAGGACAGGAAGCGCAGGCCCCAGACCACCTGCCGCTCTTCCCTCCCGTCCTGCTCCTTTCTGGATGACCCTCAACCCAGTTCCTACCTCACTCTTCTCCCCTGAAACCCTTGGTCTCCAGGCTTCCTGTCTCAATGGGCAAAGGTTTATTTTTGACTGTCCAGATGCCCAATTCTATTAAAAAAAATTTTTTTTAAAAGAATACAGAATGGGGACAGGGTCCAGTTTCTTCATCATCTGTGTGAATGGCCTCAACCTTTCCCCTGAAGGGGAGTCAGCTTGGATCAGCACATGCTCCCCCACCTCGCCCCAGCCCGGCAGCCAGGATGGGCCTTCCCTATCTTGATGCTGCTCAGCCTGGGCTCCCGGCATCTGGACTTACATCACTCACTTGGACCAGAAGCTCTGGGCACAGCAAACACAGCATGTGCAGGCACACCTCCATGCCCTTGCTCAGGCAGGACCCTGCCCAACACCTTCCCTCCTGCTCCCCTGGTGACATTCCACAAAGCCTTTGGGACCCTGCTTCAGTGTCACTTCTCCTCTGTTGCTTTTCCTGACACAGCCCCCACTCCACTCCAGAAGGAACAAATTGCTTCCTCTTTGGTGTTTTGTGCTACTAGTGTTCTTATAGACTTACTCTAGACATATTTGCTTATGTATGTCAACTGTGGGTTGGGCAGTTCCCTGAGGGATTGGATGTGTTTCATTGACCCCTCTGTGCCCTGCTCAGCCTGCCCTCAATCTTTCCCAGCATAAGAGTCTTCTCAAATGAGTCAGCTCTTCACATCAGGTGGCCCCAATATTGGACTTTCAGCTTCAGCATCAGTCCTTCCAATGAATACTCAGGACTGATCTCCTTTAGGGTGGACTGACTGGATCTCCTTGCAGTCCAAGGGACTCTCAAGAGTCTTCTCCAACAGCACAGTTCAAAAGCATCAATTCTTTGGCACTCAGCTGTCTTCACAGTCCAACTCTCACATCCCTACATGACCACTGGAAAAACCATAGCCTTGACTAGATGGACTCTGTTGGCAAAGTAGTGTCTCTGCTTTTTAATATGCTGCCTAGTTTGGTCATAACTTTTCTTCCAAGAAGCAAACAAGTGTCTTTTAATCTCATGGTTGCAGCCACCATCTGCAGTGATATTGGAGCCCCCCAAAATAAAGTCTGTCATGGTTGCCACTGTTCCTCACCTATTTGCCATGAAGGGTTGAGACCAGATGCCATGATCTTAGTTTCCTGAATGCTGAGTTTAAGCCAACTTTTGCACTCATCTCTTTCACCTTCATCAAAAGGCTCTTCAGTTCTTCTTCGCTTTCTGCCATAAGGACGGTGTCATGTGCATATCTGAGATTATTGTTATTTCTCCCAGCAATCTTGATTCCAGCTTGTGCTTCATGTTTTTCAGGAACTCTCTTGCTTTCTTGATGTTCCAGCGGATGTTGTCATTTTGATCTCTGGCTCCTCTGCCATTTCTAAATCCAGCTTGAACATCTGGATGGTCGCGGTTCACATATTGCTGAAGCCTGACTTGGAGAATTTTGAGCATTACTTGACTAGTGTGTGAGATGAGTGCAATTGTGCAGTACTTTGAGCATTCGTTGGCATTGCCTTTCTTTGGGATTGGAATGAAGACTAACCTTTTCCAGTCCTGTGGCCACTGCTGAGTTTTCCAAGCTTGCTGACATATTGACTGCAGCATTTTCACAGCATCATCTTTTAGGATTTCAAATAGCTCAACTGGAATTCATTACCCCCACTAGCTTTGCTTGTAGTGATGCTTCCTAAGGCCCACTTGACTTCACATTCCAGGATGTCTGGCTCTAGGTGAGTGACCACATCATCATGATTATCTGGGTCATGAAGATCTTGTTTTGTACAGTTCTTCTGTGTATTCTTGCCAAATGTTTTTAATATCTTCTGCTTCTGTTAGGTCCATAGCATTTCTGTCATTTATTGATCCCATCTTTGCATGAAATATTCCCTTGGTATCTCTATCTCTAATTCCCTTGAAGAGATCTCGAATCTTTCCCATTCTATTGTTTTCCTAAATTGTGCAGCAGGCCTAAATTGTCCAGCAGGCAGTCAGGGCTGGCCACAGTTCAAATCATTTATTCCACAAATATTTATTTTGGGCTTGCTCTGGGCCAGACCTGTCCTGGGCCCCATGAACTCTTTAGTCTCTGGCCTCCTGCAGCTTATAGGCTGGGTGGAAACAGAAACCAGTGAAACAGGTGACTCAAATGCATACAATTCAAGTACGATAAAGGGTGCAAAAGTGAAAGATCCTCTTTAACCAGAGTCTACACCAGTGGGGCCTGGCCTTGTCTGAGAGCTAGAGAGGACTTTCCTGAAGAAGTGATGTTTGAGATTCAGAGGGGGATGATCAGGCAACAGTCAGCAACAGAAGAGGAAGAGAGATTCAAGCAAATGAAATAATACAGAAAAAGACCAGGAGCCTGGGGCTCAGAGAGTGAGGGAGAAAGTGGCCAAAGATGAAGGTGGATGCAAACGCAGGGTCAGGGTCTTGGGAGCCTTGTTTTGATCTCTATCCTGAGGGCAATGACAGCCACTGAATTTTTTTTTTCATTTATTAGTTGGAGGCTAATTACTTTACAATATTGTAGTGGTTTTTGCCATACCTTGACATAAATCAGCCATGGATTTACATGTGTTCCCCATCCTGATCCCCCCTCCTGCCTCCCTCCCCATCCCATCCCATCCCATCCCATCCCATCCCATCCCATCCCATCCCTCTGGGTTTTCCCAGCACACCAGCCCTGAGCACTTGTCTCATGCATCCAACCTGGGCTGGTGATCTGTTTCACCCTTGATAGTATGCCTGTTTCAATGCTATTCTCGCAGAACATCCCACCCTTGCCTTCTCCCACAAAGTCCCAAAGTCTGTTCTGTACATCTGTGTCTCTTTTTCTGTTTTGCATATAGGGTTATCGTTACCATCTTTTTAAATCCCATATATATGCGTTAGTATACTGAATTGGTCTTTATCTTTCTGGTTTACTTCACTCTGTATAATGGGCTCCAGTTTCATCCATCTCATTAGAACTGATTCAAATGAATTGTTTTTAATGGCTGAATAATATTCCATGGTGTATATGTACCATAGCTTCCTTATCCATTTGTCTGCTGATGGCTATCTAGGTTGCTTCCATGTCCTGGCAATTATAAACAGTGCTGCAATGAACATTAGGGTGCATGTGTCTCTTTCACATCTGGTTCATACCTCAACATAATAAAAGCTATGTATGACAAACTCACAGCAAACATTATCCTCAATGGGGAAAAAGTGAAAGCATTTCCCTGAAAGTCAGGAACAAGACAAGGGTGCCCACTCTCACCACTACTATTCAACATAGTTTAGGAAGTGTTGGCCACAGCAATCAAAGCAGATAAAAAGAAATAAAAGGAATCTAGAGAGGAAAAGAAGAAGGAAAACTCTGTTTGCAGATGACATAATCCTCTACATAGAAAACCCTAAAGACTCTACCAGAAAATTACTAGAGCTAATCAATGAATATAATAAACTTGCAGGATATAAAATTAACACACAGAAATCCCTTGCATTCACTAACAAGGAGAAAACAGAAATTAAGGAAACAATACCATTCACCATTGCAACAAAAAGAATAAAATACATAGAAGTATATCTACCTAAAGAAACAAAAGACCTATACATAGAAAACTACGAAACACTGATGAAAGAAATCACAGATGACACAAACAGATGGAGAAATAGACCGTCTTCATGGATTGGAAGAATCGATATTGTGAATGGCTATATTACCCAAAGCAGTCTATAGATGCAATGCAATCCCTATCAAGCTACCAACAGTATTTCTCACAGAACTAGAACAAATACTTTCACAATTTGTATGGAAATACAAAAAACCTCGAATAGCCAGAGCAATCTTGAGAAGAAGAATGGAACTGGAGGAATCAACCTGCCTGACTTCAGGCTCTACTACAAAGCCACAGTCATCAAGACAGTATGGTACTGGCACAAAGACAGAAATATAGATCAATGGAACAGAATAGAAAGCCCAGAGATAAATCCACGAACCTATGGACACCTTATCTTCAACAAAGCAGGCGACGCTATATAATGGAAAAAAGACAACCTCTTCAACAAGTGGTGCTGGGAAAACTGGTCAACCACTTGTAAAAGAATGAAACTAGAACACTTTCTAACACCATACACAAAAATAAACTCAAAACGGATTAAAGACCTAAATGTAAGACCACAAACTATAAAACTCCTAGAGGAGAACATAGGTGAAACACTCTCCGACATAAATCACAGCAGGATCCTCTATGACCCACCTCCCAGAATATTGGAAAGAAAAGCAAAAATAAACTAACGGGACCTAATGAAACTTAAAAGCTTTTGCACAACAAAGGAAACTAGAAGCAAGGTGAAAAGACAGCCTTCAGAATGTGAGAGAACAACAGCAAACGAAGCAACAGACAAAGGATTAATCTCAAAAATATACAAGCAACCCCTGAAGCTCACTTCCAGAAAAATAAATGACCCAATCATAGAATGGGCCAAAGATCTAAACAGACACTTCTCCAACGAAGACAAACAGATTGCTAACAAACACATGAAAAGATGCTCAACATCACTCATTATCAGAGAAATGCAAACCGAAACCTCAATGAGGTACCATGACACGCCAGTCAGAATGGCTGCTATCCAAAAGTCGACAAGCAATAAATGCTGGAGAGGGTGTGGAGAAAAGGGAATCCTCTTACACTATTGGTGGGAATGCAAACTAGTACAGCCACCATGGAGAACAGTGTGGATATTCCTTAAAAAACTGGAAATAGAACTGCCATATGACACAGCAATCCCACTCCTGGGCATCCACTGAAGTCTTTAAACCTAAGTTATAACAGAGAGGAGGAGCAATTGGGGGTGTGTGCATTTTGAAAGCACCAACCTAGTTTAGTATGGAGAAAGGACCTGAGGGAAGGAAGAGGGGAGGAAAGGAAATTGATTAGGACTAGGCCAGGCCAGGAATGAGGGGGCTTGACTCAGGAAGGTGATGACTGGGTGGGGAGAGGTGCACAGATTTGAGAAAAATATAGAAGGTAACTTTGGTAGGACTTGGTGATGCATTGGACTGGGGGTGAGGGATAAGGAGGGGTCTCTGGTTTCCAATGGTGTAATAGGAAGAAGCCAGTGCCCGTCCCAGAGACCAGAGACAGAAACGCTGGGAATGCTGCAGGTTTGGAGTGGGGAGAGGATGAGCTAGGTGGGGTGAGCTGGGTTGAAGTAGCTGATGAGCCACCCAAGGGAGGATAGGGAGAGGATAGTCACAGGACCTGGTCCATCTTTACTGTCTCATTGCTCAGTCTTCCTCTCCTCCAATCAGGACTGCCAGGTCTGTCAATTTTAAGGGTCCATCTGAGTCAAGCCTTGAAGTCCATACTGGGGATGGAAAGGTGACAAGGTATTTTCCCTGCCTTCAAGAACCTGACAGTTTAGGAAAAAGATAGAAGAGGAAGCATAATTTCCCATTCACTGTGACGGAGAAAGGGGAGGGGCTGTGGGAGTAGGGGAGAGCCCTTAGTTCCACCTCGAGCCAAAATCAGCTACCTACAACCACTTAAGGCCACCTGCGGGCCATGTGGGACTATCTGCCTTCACTCCATGGCTTAGGCAACTCCCTCTTCCTTGAGCACCCTTGTCCCCATTTCCTTCTGAACATACTCCACCCATCTTTAAAACCTGTTCCAAAGACATCATCACCAAGAAGCCTACCTTCCTCTTGCATTTGCAGTCTTTCCACTGTGGCCCCGGTTACACCCAATGCACGCAGTGTACCTCTGATCAACACGTTCCTCACACGCAGCCATTGTAGCGTGGATACTTGTGTCCACATCTGCCTTCCCCACCAGCTGGAGAGATCCCAGGGCAGAAGTGTGATTCTTCTGCATCCTCAGAGCTGGGCACTGAGCCTCAGCCACAGTGTAGGCCGACTTAAGGGGGCGTTTCCGGGCGGTGCTTGGAAACACTTGGGCATGCTCAGTGTCACCCATTAGTCCCTTCCTAGAACCAGTCCCCCTCACCCACTACCCTCCAATCTTATGACACTCCCTCACTTTGGGGTTCTTTAACCTCTCAGGCCCTTCTCTCCTTCTCCACTCTTCGGCCCCCCAACCTTGCTCTTCTTGCAGCTGCAGCATCAAGCTTATTTCAGCAAAGAAACAGACCTAGGCCTTAAGAGAGCTGTCAGAGAGACAGGGACACGGCTCCTTTAACAGTGGCCAGCGAGGGGACGTGGCCTACGGAGAACTGGCCCGAAAGGGGGCGCGGCTTCTTACGAAGCTGAGACGAGGCACCTGAACCGCAGGAAAAGGCGAGGGCGCTTTCTGAAGCTGTAGCACCACCTGGAGAGCCCCGATTCCTCGAAGCCGGCGCCTTAATCCGGGTGCGAGGTGTCGGGAGCGGCCTTTACATCAACCGCCACGTGTGGGCCTCCCTCTCAGCTGGTGTGGGGCCGTTTACCCTGCCCCCGCCCGTGCCCAGTGCCTTGGAAAATACCGGGGCGCCCAGGTCCCCGCCCCCTTGCCTCGGGCCCCTGCTGGTGCTCTGGGAAAGCCCCCTCCCGCCCGGCCCCAGACTTGCGGTCAGTTCCCTCTGGCCATTGTCTGCGGGCTGTGGGCCGCCGGCGGGGGCTGGGCGCCCTGGGCTGCTAGGCCCCTGCCATCCCTTGCTGCCGCCCTGGCCCGCCCTAAGCGCACCTAGACTGACGGTTAGGGTGGGGAGGGCGCGGATTCTTCCCGGGAGACCAACCGCCAGTCGAACACCGCGGCCATACCCCATCCCAAAGCCGGGAGCCACAGACAAGGGTCCGAGGGCACCCAGACTCCCTAGCACGGCTTCCCAGGACCTTTGGACGCGCAGGAACGCTCACCCGACCGGCGACTCGGCGGGCAGATAGGGACGCAGGCCGGCTGGAGCTTCCGAGCATCTGTAGGCAGCGAGCACGACGACCCAACTGGCGGCTAAACTGGACGCTCTGGTTCTCGCGATAGTCAGAGTGCTCTGCGCCCGCCGCAGGGGGCCAAACCGTCACAGGCACGCAGCTCCCCTCCTCCAGGAGCAGTGCCCCGCCCCCCGCCACAGCCAATCCGCCTGCCCCCTGCAGCAGTTCCTTGGCTCAGTCCCACAGACGGTCCTCATGTTAGAGGCCAGTCTCAAATCTCAGGTTGTCACCTGTACTTCTCACTGACGAGCTATACATGGGGATTCCTGCAACATCCCCCTCCTCAGGTGTGATAACTCACTAGAGGGATTCGGAGAATGCAGGAACGTACTATGACTGGTTTATGGTAAAGGAGCAATCGTGTGGGCATAGGGGCAAGGTATGCAGGAGGGGCGCTGAGTTCCCATCCTCTCTCTGGGCGTGTCACTCTCTCAACACCTTGGTGTTTTCACCAGTCTGGAAGCTCCCTGAGCCTTGACGTTTGGGGTTTTATGGAGCATCCATTACGTAGTTCTGATTGAGTAAATCATTAGCCAGTGGTGATTAACTCACTGTTAGCTCCTCTGTCCTCTCTGGAGGTCAGCACAACCCTATAGTCGTGCTTACTAGCCTACTTCCTAAAGCCATCAAGGGGCCCCCAACATGAGTCATTTGGCTACTAGCCTCCTTCCTGAAGCCATCTAGACCACTCATCACCCCAGAGACACCAAGGATTTTAGGAGTCATGTCCCAGGAACCAGGGACAAAGACCAAATATTGATTTCTTACATCATATCCAATAACACCACAATCCAGTGTTAGGGTATTTCTGTCACCCCAATGAGATCTCTTTTGTCTTTTACAGTTAATCATCATCCCTAGCTCCAGCTCCAGGTAACCATGGATCTACTTTCTGTTTCTATGAATTTGCCTGTTCTAGATATTTTTGTATTAATGGAGTAATACAAAATCTCATCTTTTGTGTTTGCTTCTTCACTAGACATACTATTTTTGAGGTTGTCCATGTTATAAATGTAGTTCATCCCATTTTGTGGCTAATATTTCATTGTACAAATGTGCCACATTGTTGTTTATCCCTCTATCAGTTGATGGACATTTGGGTTTTTCCACTTTTTATTGTTGTTATTCAGTCACCCAGTCGTGTCCAACTCTTTGTGACCCTACAGGCCCCTGTGGACTGCAGCAAGCCAGGCCTCTCTGTCCCTCACCTCTCCCAAAGTTTGCCCAAGTTCATGTCCATTGCATCGGTGATGCCATCCAGCCACCTCATCCTCCGATGCTCTCTTCTCCTTCTGCCCTTCATCTCTCTCAGCATCAGGGACGTATCCAATGAATCAGCTGTTCGAATCATATGATCAAAATACTGGAGTTTCAGGTTCAGCATCAGTCCTTCCAAAGAGTATTCATGGTTGACTGAATCCAGAGATCGAGTGGTTTGATCTCCTTGCTCTCCAAGGGACTCTCCAGCACCACAGTTTGAAGGCATCAATTCGTTGGCACTCTGCCTTCTTTATGGTCCAGCTTTCACAACCATACATGACCACTGGGAAGACCATAGCCTTGACTATGTGGACCTTTGTCAGCAGAGTAATGTCACTGCTTTTTAACACACTGTCTAGGTTTGTTATCACTTTCCTTCCAAGAGGCAAATGTCTTCTGATTTCATGACTACAGTCACTATCTGCAGTGATTTTAGAGCCCAAGAAGAGGAAATCTGTCACTACTTCTATTTTCCCCCTCTATTTGCCATGAAGTAATGGGACTGGATGACACAATATCAGTTTTTTTTAATATTTAGTTTTAAGCCAGCTCTTTCACTCTCCTCCTTCACCCTCATCAAGAGGCTCTTTAGTTCCTCTTTACTTTCTGCCATTAGAGTGATATCATACACATATCTGAGGTTGTTGATATTTCTCCTGCCTATCTTGATTCCAGCTTGTAACTCATTCAGCCCAGCATTTCTCATGATGTACTCAGCATATAGATTAAACAAACAGTGTGACAACAGACAGCCCTGTTATAGTCCTTTCTCAATCTTGAAGCAATCAGTTGTTCCATACAGGGTTCTAACTGTTTCTTTTCCATGTTTGGGCTACACCAAACAATGCTGCTAGAATATTTGCATGAATAATATTTATTTTTAATAATAATAATCTGTACAGAGGAGAAAAGTTTCAAAATGAAAGTGATTAGGTCATGATTCTTATTTTAATTGTAGAATAATTATTTACAATATTGTGACAGTTTTTGCAATATATCAGCATGAATTGGCCACAGGTATATATGTATCCCACCCATCATGAGCCCCCATCGTGAGACCCCCTCTCCCTTCCCTCCCAACACTGTCCCTCTGGGTGGTCCCTGAATGCCAACTTGGCTTGCTCTGCTTCATGGGTCAGTTCATACTACTGTTTTAAGTGTTAAGATGCTGTTTACATATATTTCTGTCTGATTCATAATACTCATGCACTCCGTTAGTTCTTAGGAGGGCCATGGCCCAGAAAATTCAAAGCTGCCCCCTCTTGGTATTGTGAAACCAAGGACAAGACTAGGGATGAGAGACAAGCAATTCAGCAAATTAGCTTATATAAGCCCTGAATGTTAGAAGCAAAGGACTAGAAAAAGCAGACTGTAGGTTGGCCTACAGACAAAATGAAGTCTCTTTTCTGGCATGTATATTTGTGTTTTTGCATAGGGTCTTTTAAGGATATTTGAGAAGTTTAGAATGAATGTGCTAAGAGTCACCTGAAAATGTGTTGTTGTTGTTTAGTCACTGAGTCATGTCAGACTCTTTTGTGACCCCATCGACTATAGCCCACCAGGTTCCTCTGCCCATGGGATCTCCCAAGCAAGAATACTGGAGAAGGGCCATTTCCTTCTCTAGGGGACCTTCCTGACCCAGGGATTGAACCTGTGTCTCCTACGTCGCAAGTGGATTCTTTACCACTGAGCCACCTGGGAATGGCAACCGACTCCTGTATTCTTGCCTGGAGAATCCCACAGACAGTGGAGCCTAGTGGGCTACAGTCTATGGGGTCACAGAGAGTTGGACATGACTGAGTGACTAAGCAGGCAGGCATGTAGGCACCTGGGAAGCCCAGAAATGTATTGAGTTACCTAGAAATTATCAAGTATATAAATATATATTTAAAACATTTATTTGGCTGTGTTAGGTCATAGTTGTGGCATGCAGGATCTTTATTTGCAGCATGGGGACTCTTAGCTGCAACATGTGGGATCCAGTTCCTTGACCAGGCTTTGAACCCAAGATTCCTACAATGGGAGCGTGGAACCCCAGCCACTGGACCACCAGGAAAATCCCTGTCAAGTGTATCTTAAGGGAAGGACAAGATTCCAGGAAACTGGCAAGATGAGTGGATTCTGCAAATCAAGCCTACAAAAGTACTGGGGACAGAGCTGGAGGGTGAGTGGGGAATGGACAGTGCCTCATTTTGGAAACAGCACTCAGGTGTCTGGTGTGGGACCTCCTCCCACAATCTCACCCCCTACACAGCTGATGGCCCTGTCCCAGCTCCCAGGTGGGAGTTTCATCCAAGCCTGAGCACATGCAGTTGCCACAGTGATTAACTTAGAGATAGGGGTGGGCCTATGATTTAATTTAACTGGTCTGAAGTTTTTCTCTTTTGGGTGGTGGGGCATGGATAGGGAGAGGACTGGGACAGAGAAGTTGGTTTTCTACTGGAGTCAGTGATTTGATAGAAGTCTGGTGCTATTGGGTCCACACTGTGGAAGAGAAAAAAAAAAAAGCTGTCCAAGAAAGAAGTCAAAGGAGAGGAAATTACTCATGAGGCAGAGATTTCTGATGGCACCTCTTCAGTCCCCAGATGTAGGAGGACAAATATTAATAAATTCTTCCCTCTTTTTTTAAAAAAGCCAGTTAGAGATGGCTTTTTGTTGTCAGGAATTCAAACAGTCTTGACTCTCCTCTTGCTTGGAATACATTGAGGTCATCAGAATTAGATTTAAAAACACGAGAGTAACAAGCTGTCTCTTGTTCCTAAGAGAGGTGAAGCAGATTCTTACCTGTTTAAGTGTTTCTGGCTGAGTCTTTGAACACAGGGAGAGGTTTGTTTGTCTTTTCCCTGGATCTTTGCTTCCTTCTCTCTTCCTCTGCTGGGGAGTTGATCTGAGGTTGGGATGGAAGTCCGAGCAATTTAAAATCTACTTGGAACTCTTGTTCCTTACCCCCTCACGAAAGCTGATAAGAACAAGATCCATTCCTGTGACACAGATGAGAAAACCAAGGCTCAGGATGGAGAGATGATTAGGTCAAGGAGACACACACTGAAAAGATCAGCCTGCCCAGGGCTCTCTGTTTCTTTCCCTGCAGTCTCCCACTTTGAAAGGAGATCCAGACCTTGCTTGTCCAGGGCAGTCTCTTCACCTGCTCCCCAGCCTTTCTGAGGACGTGGCCTCCCCTGCCCCTGGCATACAGTACCTGGTCTACATTAAACCCTGGACAGATACTTGTGATGACAGAAGAGACTGAGGGAGCAAGATGTGAAGAAGAAAAGGTAGACTTTGAAGCGAGTAAATATTTTATGTGCTGAGTGGGATACTTGAAACCTAACATCCTTTTTAAAATTAATTTTATTTATTTATTGTGGGTTGTGCTGCATGACCTGCATCTAGCTGCCCATCACCCTCTGACAAAGGCACATCTTTCCCTCTGGAAGAGGCTGCCCAGAAAACCCAGATTGTGTTAGCATCCTTGCATTCTTTAGTTATGGAATCAGACCAGAAGTGCTCAATCTGGGTTCATCTAAAGATCAAGGGGTCAAGGAGGGGGTAAGCGACACACAGCACTGGAACTGTTGATTTCATTGCCTAGATTTCTGCTTCTTTTCATACCCTAATTAGAAACATTTCTGGGCAGTTCTGCTTACCTTATCTTCAGTAAAACAGGAAGGCAAACCACAAGTTCCCTTGAATCTTCTCTTCTAGTAGTTTTTGTTATCACTTCTAGCTAATTCTTTTTGAACATCGCATCTTATATGTAAACCCAATATGTAAGTCAGATCACAGGA